AGCTGAGAGGATTCAACTTAGCTAGCAGAATAACTTAACTATTCGAGAAAAAACAAATAAATACTTGTATTCACATGCGACACCGAGTGACGATGAACGAATTATACTGAATAAATAGACAAGTAAAATTTTTCATCAATACAATATAAGTTAAGTAATGAATAGAGTAAGCATAATAATAATAACAATAATACAGAGATGAGAAACGATCAAAACCCGACGTATAAATTGCGTTCAATTTATTTTACCCTCACGAAGAAATAATACGCGATTCCACCCGATACACTCACCACACCTGCCACCAAAACCGCAATCTTTAACGATCGATACGGATCATTCTCATCGCCGACGATTGAGTTCAGTAACTGAAAAAAAACAGTGGCATTTTAATTTTAATTGAGGAAAGGATGAAGAGCCTAATTCTGAAGAACACATTCCTTTCCACATTGACAACCTTGACCAGAACAAAATTCAAACCATCTCACTTCGTACTCTCAATTTATGCTACGTTATCTCACTGATGACGACATCAACCCTCACGCATCCATTTCAATTAAACAACTAAAATCATCAGTTGAAACACTGCTGCAATCTAACAATATAAGATAACCAATACCTTCTTCGTCTTACTATCTCCTTCGGGTTGATGAATGACTTCTGTCTTCTCCTGCGGAACTTCTTTGCCACTATCCTTCAATTCATTCATACCGTTCGCCAAGACTGCAGCTGCTACTGCTTCAGCCACTATATTTGCATCCTTCTCATCAGCATGTTCAACTTCAACTTCATTTTTGGTATTGTCTGCAGTCGAGATATTCTCTTGTGGTTCTTCTTGCTGTGCTGGTTTGGTATTTTTGACGACGACACTTTCAGCCGGTACAGGTGTTGAAGTGCCATCATCCTTGAGCTCTACCTTAGTCTCGTCGTTGTTGTTGTTGTTGTCATCATTGAAATTACTCTCCGATATTGTACTCACCACACTGAAATCACCGCTTATCTT